AAGTTAATGTTTTTGTAAGCTGAACTTGATTTCGGTTGCAGATAGTTACTTTAGATGGGCCTATGTGGTAAGCATCATAATTGTGCCAATTGGTGTCTAGTAATAACTCAAAAAACATCTTGCTGTGATCTGCTACTCTGAAGAGCTCAGCTGAGCTTAACAATTATCGAAAAGACCACCCAAAGCCTCAAAAATACTAAGTTAATCAGAAAGTTCTTTTAACAAGGTTAGTCACTATTGTTTTGTTAATAGCTTTGGGTGGTGGAAAAGCAACATTATTTTTGTGCCGATGTAGAGTACGCAGATGTTACGGCTAACTCTTCGAAAGCAACGATTGAAAAAATTCAAAAGTCGACGCATGGGTACTCAAGACTTTTTTTGCTCAAATAAGGCGTTAGGTATCGAAGAAAGTTTAGAAAGGACTACAATTGCTGGCGTGCACGACATTGCGCCTACTGTTTGTACTTCGTATTATCTTCCTAACCCATTTGTTAGAAATACCTCCTAAGCGATATCAAAATTCGATAATTTTTATCATATATTTTCCTGTCTAATTTTAGGCAACTTGAGGAACGAATATACGTATAATACCGCTAATAACTTTTGCAAAAGAAACGTGATTTCACATAAAAATCCGTCGCAAGCGCCGCATCGTCATAGCTTCTTTCAAAATAGAAATTTTTCAAAAGTAGAAGCAGTATTAGATTCAGCTTGTCCAGATGAATCCTAGGGTATGCCACACTACAGTAACATCTAAGGTGTACGGTAGATGCGGTAGGAAGACAACACAACGAATCCGTCTGAAATTTTGAGTAGGGGTGTTCATATGACACTCCCACGCAAAGCTTCAGACGGATTCACGATGTTGACTTCTTACCGTCACCGTATTTCTTGGGTTACTGTAATGGGGCATACCTCAAGATTCATTTTGGAAAGCCGAGTCTAACACTGCTTTTACTTCTAAAAAATTTCTATTTTGAAAGATGTTATGACGATGCGACGCTTACGACGGATTTTTATGTGAATTCACGTTTTTTTGCAAAAGTTATGAGCGGTATTGTACTTGTAAATAGTCACTGATGTAATACAAATTATCACCATAATGCACTTCCTTCAACATTAAATATTAGACCGTAGCTCAAACAAGGTAACTTCTGTATATCCGAATCCAAGGCGGTCGTCTTAGCGATTAAAATT